AAGCTCTCCAAATGGTTAGGGTTTATGATTTTACCTTCGAGGTCAATTAAATACAGGTCAACCCTTCAAGTAATAGTCAATCCGCAATATAACCTTTCGGATCTGAAACATTGAAGAGTATTTACGCTGCCTACAAGGCTTAGAGTTCCTAAATTTTAAGAGTAGAATTTGGCCATTTGGGTTTCTCATTTCAAGGATTTCGATTTGATATGTAAATTTTGTGGTTTGACAAATTTAGAAGGGTTATATTACGGATTGACTCTTATTTGAAGGGTTGACCTGCATTTAATTTACTTAGAGGGTAAAATCGCAAATCATAACCATTTTGAGGATTTATTTGCAGAAAATTCTATAAATAAACATTTTTAGCAACTATTTGAAGTTATGATACCCGTTTTAACAAATAAAATAAAATAATAATTTCTATTACACGTATAAAAGATAGGTGTCAACTATAGAAACTACAGCCTCAATTAATATTACCAGGTGCACTACGCAAGACGCTGGCTCTCGTCACCGTATTCAAGTTATCGTCCGCAATTCTAACCTTATAGCCTCAACATAAGCTCCAAAATAAATCGAAAACACCAAAAATATGGTAAAAATGGTGAAAACAGTTGAATGAGTCATAATTTTAGTTTTCAGATCAAAATAAAAATTGAGTGATATTGGTGAAAAAACTAGTATAGATCAATTGTGTTATTGTTATGCTATATAGTGGATTAAAGTGGTTTCTTAAAAATAGGTTTGATTTGATTTTGTGTGTGGACATTAATTATTGAGAAATTTTGAAAAATACAACTGTTCAAATGCCACTTTTCAAAAATATTACATTTCAAAATCTTTACAAAAATACCACTTTTCAAAATTATTTATTCATTATATCATTTATGTTTGGGTTAACTATGTTGTATTAGAGTTTAGTTTTGAGGGTTTTAACTATGTTGTATTAGGGTTTAGTTTTGAGGGTTTAGGGGGTTTTAGAGGTCAAAATATTTTTTAGGGTTTAGAATTTTAAGATTTAGACTCTAAAAATTCATAATTAGTGATATTTTTAAAAATGTACACATCAAAAATGGTATTTTTGCAATTGTTCCTTATTTATTTATTAGAAGATTTTTGATTCATCAAATCGTAGATATGAAAGTTGAATACTTTTCTTTATATAAAACTATCAGTTAAACAAAAAGAGAAGTGGACAAAAAAAAGGGAAAATTGGATATAAAAGACGTTTTTTTAGGATTTTGTCCATCTATACCTTTATTTGTAAATTCACATTTATGTCTAAACTATCCTTATAAATTTAAAATATTAATTTTTAAAAAAAATTGTTTGTGAAACATGTGAAGAACAAATGAATAAGACTTTTTATTAAAAGGGTAATTTTTTGTTAACCGATAAATTTATAAAATT